AGGAGACTCGCTTGAGCCCAGGAGTTGGAGGTTGCTGTGAGCTGTAATGCCACAGCACTCTACCCAGGGGGACAGCTTGAGGCTCTGTCTCAAAAGAAAAAAAAAAAAAAATTAACATAGCATGCTATCTGGTTTCAGTGCATTTCTCTGACACTAACAAAAACAAATAAAACTAGAGAAGAGTTAATAAATAAATGACAGGTTGGCAACAAGAGAATGGCACAGAGCCCCACAGGATACTGTAAGAATGAAGGTCTCCTCATAATCTAATAAATCATTTCTGCTTAAGTTACCCCAGATTAGTTTCAGTTGTTTTAAATAAGAAACTGACTGGTATAGTGTCTGGTACCATCTAATGTTTCTCTTTAAACACAATGCTAGAAGCCACTGTTTCAAATTACTCTAAGTTTAATTCATCTATAAATTTTTTATACACCCATTTTTTCTCATGCAAATGGAATCATATACCTATTATTTTGGATTTGAATTTACTTGCTAAACAATGTATCTCAGAGATCATTCCATTTTAAAACATGAGATTTAAGCATTATCTATAATAGGCCTATAATATTCCATCAAATAAGTGTACCATAATTTATTCAACCAGTTTTGGATAGGTTTTTTTTGTTTTTTTTGAGAAAGAGTCTCACTTTGTCACCCTTGGTAGAGTGCCATGGCATCATAGCTCACAGCAAGCTCAAACTCTTGGGCTCAAGTGATCCTCTTGCTTTAGTTTTTCATTTTTAGTAGAGACAGGGTCTCACTCTTGCTCAGGTAGGTCTCAAACTCATGAGCTCAGGCAATCCACCTGCCTCCGCCTCCCAGAATGCTAGGGTTACAGGCATGAGCCACCACAACTACCTGATAGGTAGATTTTAGAACACTTCCCATCTTATACTACAAACAATGCTTCCCGAATATCCCTGGCTGGGTGCCTGTAGCTCAAGCAGCTAAAGTGCCAGCCACACATGCCAAAGCTGGTGGGTTCAAATCCAGCCCAGGGCCTGCCAAACAACAACTACAACCAAAAAATAGCTGGGCGTTGTGGCGGGTACCTGTAGTCCCAGCTACTTGGGAGGCTGAGGCAAGAGAATTGCTTAAGCCCAGGAGTTGGAGGTTGCTGTGAGCTGTGACACCACAGCACTCTACCCAGGGCGACAGCTTGAGGCTCTGTCTCAAAAAAAAAAAAAAAAAATCCCTGTAGCTATGTTTCTATGCTTTGATGAACTTCTGTTAGTAAGACAATCTCTTATTAGTGAAATTCATGAGTATATGCCAATTTCTCTCCAAGGAAATGACTGGAGGAAATTACACTCCTTTCAATGTATTAGCATCTGCTTCCTCTACTCTCTCCAACATAGTGAACTATTACACTGGGCCTTCTCCTGGATGATCTGCAAAAAAAGTCTTTGTTAGAACTGTTGCAATTCTTAACATATATATGGAGGGTTTTTGTTTTTTGTTTTTTTACTAGATTCTTTCCATGTTTAAGTATTTGAATGTATCAAAGTTTCCTTTTACAGTTTCTGGGTTTAATGCCTTAGTACTAAGAAGTTTTCTCCATTCTGAAATTATATTAAAAAATCATCCCTTGTTTTCTTTCTTTATTCACTTACTGTTTGATGTTCAAGTCTTTAATTCATTTGGAATTTATTTTGGAGGAAGGAATAAGGAAAGGTATCAGCATTGTTTTTTCCTATATAGCCTGTTATCCTAATACCTGTTATTGATAACTTCTGGGTCCAGTCATTGGAAATATCAGCTTGTTTCTATACTAAGTTCCATGATAGATTTGGACTTTCCCTTCTGTTCTACTGACTAGTCTATTAAAAAAAAAAAAAAGGTACCAAAATGGTTTTAACATTGTTGCAGGAAGATGAGGCCCAATAGAGAGAAAGAATACCCAAACACCATGTTTAAAAGAAGAAGGGCATTATTCCAGCTGGTGGAGTGATGGCAGAGAAGAGTCCAAAATGGCAGCACTCCCCAACTGGCTCAGTCTTCTCCTTTTTATCTCTATTCAAAAAGTTCCAGCCCATGGGTGCCTTTCTGATTAGTCTGTTTGAATCAAGCTGGAGAAGAGGGCTTTTACAGAAGCAGAAACAAGGGCTAGTTTGCAGGTCCCAGGATGTTAAGTTATACAAATTCCTAAGAGCTGAGTCACCACACGGCAGACCTTGTAGGAGTGTCCTTGGGGTCTTCTTGAGAAGACCTCTGTTCTCTTAGACCTTTTTCCAGGTATCCTCCCTCAATACCTGTGCTTTTATAATACATCTTAATAATTAATAGGTGGTCCAACTGATTTGTGTTAATTTTTATTTTTATTATTAAAATCATAAAATTTTTACATGGAAATGATTTCTGAAATTTTGATGAAATTCAAAAGGAAAGTATTTCATCCACTCAAAACTTTGTGTGGATATATAATATAATGGAAAAGATAACTAACATTGGGTGGCGCCTGTGGCTCAAAGGAGTAGGGTGCCGGCCTCATACACCAGAGGTGGTGGGTTCAAACCCAGCCCTGGCCAAAAAAAAAAAAGAAAAAACTTCAAAAGATGACTAACATTTATTGGGCACCTACTCTATGCAAAAACTTTTGTGAAAACCAGGGTAAAGGAGGCAATGCTAAGTAGTTAAGCTTCACCAAGGAGCTTCCATGTAGTGAGGGAGTTTGTGCACTTACCCAATCAGTTTTAATTCTCTCTCTCTCTCTCACACACACACAGTCCTTACGAAATCAATTTTCATGCCCTTTTCTATCTCTGTCTTTCACAGACATTCACATGCACCTACCATACGGTAGGTAATACATACCTGTTTGATTTCTTTAATAGCCAAAGTAATTGAGAACAAGACTGCTTGACTAATGCCGCTCTCACCGGGAATGTTACGGGCTGATTTAGTTCATTACAGATATATTCCATCTCTTTCACCATTGTCCAACTGTACCCTTAAATGAAAAGAAAGAAATTTAACTTTTGTGATTGAAATCTGAAAGTCAATTAAATAAAAAACTAAATTACCTATAAAGAGGTAAATCCAAAGATAACTCACAAATTCACAGGTGAATTCATAGGTAATTCATAATAATTTCCATTTGGATTCAGAATGAATTAAAATACCACTTAATGCATGCAAATACTCTGAATGGAAAATGTAGATTAAAAAATCATGCCATCAGTGACCTAGAGCAAATTTATACAGAAAATTAAAACACTAAAAAGATGTCACTAATCTCTCAAGTACAAAAAACCCCCAAATTAACGCTACTATGTTTTCATTTATTTCAAACATTCTAAGGTTCCTAGGTCCACCTGCATCATTCTCTATAAACTTGGCTTTTCTATTTGTGTTAAATTTTCTTTTTCAAGAAAAGGGAAAGCAGGGCAGGGTGGCTCACGCCTGTAATCCCAGCACTTTGGGAGGCCAAGAAGGGCGGATTGCTTGAGCTCAGGAGTGCAAGACCAGCCTGAGCAAGAGGGACACCCTGTCTCTAAAATTAGCCAGGCACTGTGGTGGGCGCCTGTAGCCCCAGCTACTTGGGAGGCTGAGACCAGAGAATCACTGAAGCTCAGGAGTTTGAGGCTGCTGTGAGCTATGACACCAGGGCACTCTACCAAGAGCAAGATAGAGAGACTCTGTCTCCAAAAAATAAAAAAAGAAAAGAAAAGGTAGTCATAACCTAAATAAATGTCACTACTCACTAAATAGTAAAGACTCTGACCTCATGGTGGATGTTAAAACTTTACATCTGAAAATATTAATAAGAAATAAGTAAAAAATGAATACCCTGAACACAGTAGGATACAAGCTAACATATCTAAAAGACCTAAATACATTTTTAGTTTATTTTTACCACATGGTCAGATGTCCCAGAGCATTTGATTGCTTACTGGCTGTAAGCAGAGAGGTAAATCCAAAGGTACAATACGTTTCAACCAGGAAGAAGGTGAGTGTCTGGTTCATCTTAGGGAGATGTAGGAAAGAAGGGCTCCAGCCAAGAGGAGTGTCTCATGGCCCCCTCTGCCCTGTCCAGCCAAGGAGAGCATAATGAGGGCAACAAGCTCTCAGCAACTACAGGTAGGGCCCCTACCAATATCCAGGGAGCAGAACTTGCAGTCTTCAACCACTTTTTTTATTATTAATTTTTCACCTGTCATAAGAAGCTTGCTCTAAGGCAGGGGTGTCCAATCTGCAGCCCACAGGCTGAATGCTGATTTTGAGAAGACTTTTTTGCTTACATGTGGTGTTGGATATCACTAAAAGCATGCATGGACCTTTTTTTGCTAATCAGCTTTCATTAGCGTTTGTGTATTTAATGTGTGGCCCAAGACAACTTTTATTCTTCCAATGTTTCACAGAGAGGAAAAAAAAAAGGTTAGAAACCCCTGGTCTAAGGTTTCTATGGCAAAAAGAAAAATAAAAGAGAGTCTAGAATGTTTTATAAGTTCAAAGTTACCAACTCAGCATTTGTTCAAAGTATGTGAAGAGGCAGGTTTGGTTATTCTAGAACTTGCAAACCAGTGTTTCCTATGGAAGCTGTAATAGGTGACAGATGTCACCAACACACAGAGTCCACTGAATATACATACAGAAAGAAGGGCCTGCAATGCCTGTAGAGTCAGGCGTTTCTCTCCATTAGGCTCTTAAGATCTGTGGGATGTGTTTGGGCTTTAGTATTAAAGATGCTTTTTTTGTATTTGGAGAATATTTTGATTTGACCAACAAGAATATGTTATTAGAATTATCACCTTCATTGACTTTCTCAGGATGCCATCCTGTTGTCCAACCCAGGGACAATGTCACATCTGGAAAGTAGGATGTCACAGTATCTATAAATGGTTTTGCATCTACTACTTTGCTATTTCCATTTGGACCAGGAAGAATATCAGCATTAATCCACACAGGACGCTTCAGATGCTTCTTCACATTTTCCAAGAGCATCATGGATGGTTCTACAGCTGCCAGACTAAAAACACAGTTTGCTGTCAATGAGACATAATCCTAAATTCAGTAAGAAGAAGTTCTGTTAGACTAGTGGTTTTAATGCTCTCAAATTCATAAAAAAATATAATAATGTATGAATTAAATAAAATCAAAGATAACGCACACCAGAGGAAAAGCTCACATATTCCATATCTCTAAATGTTGATTTCTTATTATTATTTGCAAAGGTTCTATAAATGTACAATGAACAATGTCAATACTTGTAGACAATATAGAGTTTTCAAAATTCTATATCAGGATCACTCAGTGTGAAAATAATTTAAGAAAGACACAAATAATAGTTCATCAGATAATGTATAAATAGTAAATGAGAAATATAACCTGAAATCTACATTTCTGAATACCCAAGTACTGTATCTCTGATTCTGGTAAGCATATTTTAGTTTAAATTAAAAAGAAGCTCCACTCTTTCCTTTATTTTTCTTAAAGTAAGAGGCCCAAAAGGAGTGGAGAGAAGAGAAGCAAGAAACCTGCAGTCCCTTCAGAGAGATGGGAACGTGAGGAGGGGCTGCTGACTGTTTTCCCCTCCAACATCCATCTCTAAACTTCTCAGCCTTTCATCACAATATTTACTACAAGTTAATTCTCTTATGAATGAATATAGGCTTTAAAGATTCAGAAGACAGTCAGTTATAAATAGTATAGTTTTCCAGTAAAGTCTGTATGTATGTATTTTTTAAAGGAAAAATTACATAGGCTGACTAAATCCTAATTGTTTCAAAGGTTATAGGTGCCACTTTGCTCACATGAGGAAGACTTCTTTTTTCTCACTCTTCTGCCCCTGAATAAATACACTAGATTTCAGTGGATTAACGCGCTCTAATGCGAGACCTTTCAGACTCTTACTTATATGTCACTTCTCTGTTTTAAATGTTTCCTGCATCAACACTATGTTAAAACCACAATTCTGAGTTCTGGGCGCTGTACTTTTTTCAAAATCCCATTTTGGGTAGCAAGCAACTTGTATCTGTGACTCCAAAGCTTGCACACTTCTAAGTTCTACAGCAGCAGCAAAGTCCCCATAGGATTTTGCTTTTCATGGGTGGAGCAACGGAAAAACCCTAAACTAATCCATGCATGTCTTTTGCCAAACTCTTCTTTTTCCAGAAAGGACTTTCTTATGAAATCTAGTGTACGTGGAGGTACGGTTAAACACTAATTTCCAGTTTATATTTAAGAAGGGAGCTTCTTATGCTTTCTGAGAGACGGCTGTTTAATGTTGATTTGCCATCTGATAAAATCCAGTCTCAGTGTTTTGTTCCCAAAATAGAAATTCCACCAGTGTCTATTCTGTGCCTACTACGTGCAAAGTGTTGTGCAATTAAACATAAAAAGCTGTGATACAGAACATAATGAAGAATTTAATAATTATATTTCATTTTATTATAAATATTATAATTATAACTAATGTAGATCAGGGTAATGACATTTTTTCCTAACGAGAAATAAGAAAAACAAAACTTATTATTTTTAAAAATTTTAAACATTATTAAGAAACCTAAAACTTTTTGTTGTTGTAGTTCTTATTTGCTGGAACTTGACAAATAATTCTAAAATTCTTCTGGAAGAAAAGCTGAGACGTTTTTTACAAAAGGATTGAGGATAAACTTTTCCAAACAGCAAAATAAAGTGTACAGTAGTCAGTCCTCTTTCATCTGCAGGGCATATACTCTGAGACCCCCATGGACGCCTGAAACAGCAGACGGTATCAAACCCAACATATACTATGGTTTTCCTATTAATACATACCTATGATAACATTTAATTTATAAATTAAGCACATTAAAAGATTAATTATGACTAATAATAAAGGGAACAATTACAACATCCTATAGTAAAGGTAAGTCAATGTGATCTCTCGTTCTCTATCCAAACATCTTACTGTACTGTACTCAACCTTCTTCTTTTTGTGGTCTGTCAATCTCATAACCATGATGGCTACTAAGTGATGAACAGGCAAGTAGCACATATAGAGTAGGTACACCGGATAAACGGAAGGGATGATTCATGTTCCGGGCAGGATGGAGTGGGCTGGTATAAGATTTCATCGTGCTATGCAGAATGTGTGCAATTTAAAACTTATGTATTGTTTATTTCCAGAATTTTTCATTTGATATTTTTAGGCCACAGTTTACTGCAGGTAAGAGAAACTACAGATAACAGAGAAATACTGTATACTGCAAAATACACCATGTCCCTAGCCTAGAAGACTCAATTTTGCACACATTACAAAATGACATATCCTTCTAAATTAATGTATAAATACCATGTAATTCTAATTCAAAACACCAACAGCCATCGTTCTCAATTCTTACACATATTAAGTTTCCTAGGAGGAAGTGCCAAAAGCTTTGCCAAGATGATTATTTGAAGAAGAAAGTCCTGATTAGAAGACGACCTAAAATAGCACTTCGGTAGTATTTATTTAAATCTCTAGAAAAGAATACAAGCTCAGTACTTAAGTACTAAGTTTGACAACTGATATCTCTAACATTTCATTTTGACATTTCTTGTGGTGTTTTTGTGGCTACTGTTGTTGTAAAGGTACAACCTCATTCTTTCAAATACACATTTTGGCTTCTGATCATCTTTTATATTTTTTAGGGGAATTTTTGTAAAGGATGGATAAGTCAAAAATTCTTTTTTTTTTTTTTTTGGAGACAGAGTTTCACCATGTCACCCTTGGTAGCATGCCATGGTGTCACAGCTCACAGCAACCTGAAACTCTTGATCTTAAGCAGTTCTCTTGCCCCAGCCTCCCATGTAGCTGGGACCATAGGAGACTGCCACAATGCCCAGCTATTTTGTTGTTGTTGTTGTAGTTGTCATCGTTATTTAGCAGGCCCAGGCTGGGTTCGAACCCGCCAGCCCTGGTATATGTGGCTGGCACCCTAACCACTGAGCTATGGGAGCCGAGCCAAAAATTTCTGTTATTTTTGAATATAAGTTCCATTGTAGAACCAACGCAGGGCAGATAGCTTGAAATACCAATGAAGTGTTCGGGAAGGATGTGGCTAATGAATGCATAGTACGTACATAGATGGTCTGACAAATTCCATTCTGCTCATTTTAATCTTGAAAATGAGCCACATGGGCAACCAAGGTGGATAATGAGAAGCCGAAAGCTGTAGTGGAAGCGAATCCATCTCAATTTACATGTGAATTAGCAGCAAGATTTGACGTTGCTATTCCACCAATATTGGACCATTTGAAACAAATTGGCAAGGTATAGAAGCTGGATAGATGGGTTTTGCATGAATTAAACAAGCATCAGAAGAGAAATCATGTTGAAGCTTGCTTTTCTTTGCTGTCACTACATAAATAGGAATCATTTCTACACCATATTGTTACATGTGATGAAAAATGGATTCTTTTTGACAATTGCAAGCATTTGACATTATGGCTGGATAAAGATGGACACAATCCAAAACCAAATATTCAAAACAAAATAAAACATTTATCAAAAAAATCTGATAGTGTCTGGTTAGTGGTCCAGCACTGTTATCCACTACTATTACCCATTCATGAAACCTAGTCAGTCAAGTATAGCAGATGCCTACTGCAACCACTTAGATCAAATGATGAAGATGCCTGTGAGATGATGCAGCCAAGACTGGTCACTAGAGACAGGCCAATCCTCTTTTGCATGACAACACTGTCACACAAAGCTGCTCAAACTATAGAAGCTGGACCTGGAAACTCTCTGTCATCCACCAAATTTACCAGACCTTGCACACCAACTCACTGCCCCTTCTTCCAGGCTTTGGATCTCTTCTTATAAGGAAAAATATTTAATTCTCAACCTGCTGTGGAAAACACCTTTTGTGATTTCATCACCACTCACTCTCCAGGCTTCTTCACTGCTGGCACACACAAGCTATCATTAAGACGACAAAACTGAGGCAAGAGTTTAGGTGCATACTTTGATTAATTGTACTGCCTTTTTTTTTTTTTTGAGACAGTCTCTCACTCTGTTGCTGTATGTAGAGTGCTGTGGCATCATAGTTCACAGCAACCTGAGACTCTTGGGCACAAATGATCCTCTTCCCTCAGCCTCCTGAGTAGCTGGGACTATGGGCACCCAACATTAAGGCCTGGCTAAGTTTTTTAAAATTATTTTTATTCATTTATTTTATGTATTTATTTTTGAGACAGTCTCACTATGTTGCCCTGGGTAGAGTGCCATGGTGTCACAGCTCAGAGCAAACTCAAACTCTTGGGCTTAAGTAATTCTCTAGCTTCAGCCTCCCAAGTAGCTGGGACTATAGGCACCCAACATTAAGGCCTGGCTAGGTTTTTTTAAATTATTTTTATTTATTTATTTATTTTTGAGACAGAGTCTCACCATGTTGCCCTGGGTAGAGTGCCATGGTGTCACAGCTCAGAGCAATCTCAAACTCTTGGGCTTAAGCAATTCTCTAGCCTCAGCCTCCCAAGTAGCTGGGACCACAGGTGCCCACCACAATGCCTGGCCATTTTTTTGGTTTCAGTTGTCATTGTTGTTTGGCAGGCCCAGGCTGGATTTGAACCTGCTAGCTCCAGTGTATGTGGTTGGCCCCCTAGCCATTGAGCTACAGGCACTGAGCCTTAAACTATTATTTACAGTAGAGATGGAGTCTCACTTTGCTCAGGCTGGTCTTGAAGTTCAAGCAATCTATCCGCCTTAGCCTCCCAGAGGGGTAGGATTATAGGCATGAGTCAGCATGCCTGGCCAATTGTACTGCTTCTTGTTTGAGATATAATAAACTTCTGATTCAAAATTGAACATTTCAGATTTAATAACATAATTTTTTGTTTTGTTTTGTTTCAGATAGAGTTTCACTTTGTCCCCCTCGGTAGAGTGCCATGGTGTCACAGCTCATGGCAACCTCAAACTCTTGGGCTTAAGTGATTCTCTTGCCTCAGCCTCCCATGTAGCTGGGATTACAGGAGCCCACCACAATGCCCAGCTATTTTTTTGTTATTGTTGTCACTGTTGTTTAGCAGGCCCTGGCCAGGTTCAAACCCACCAGCCCCCATGCATGTGGTTGGCACCCTAACCGTTAAGCTATGGGTGCCGAGTCTAATGACATAATTAGAATAGATTGTTTTTCCTAAATAAGAATCAAATTTATCGTTGTAAATCAAACTTATGAATATCTTACTTTCCTAGTAATTTCACAAGAAATTGGAGATAAAATGAAAATCATACTTAAAATTGTAATAAACTATTTACAATTACATTTAAGGGAAAACAATTCTTTGCTAAAATACTGGAGAGCTTGTTAAACTCTAGATAAAATTTTAAATGTATTACTTAGTATTTGTATATTAAACAGAATAACTTAGAAGCACAAGACAAAAACTACTAAAATTTGACTCAAAGATAACATTTAGTTACTCTTATGGAGGCAGCGCAGCATTCTGTTAAGAGTGCAAAAATCTGACAGTTCTCTTCTCCATGACCAACTCTGTGACCATGACAGGCCACTTAGCCCTCTCTGCCTCATCTGGAAAATGGTAATAGATATAATAGATTCCCCTCCAAATATGTTATTAAAAATTGAGCACATGACAAGGCAAGGAGATTTGAAAGTTTAAGTGATCAGGGATTAAAGATCACATGCCTTACTTCACGGCACAGAGAACACGGGACTAGCTCCAGTGTTACTTAAGAGCCCTGGGATCTGGTTCTAACTTGCCCATCAAAGCTTATCTGTTGTTCTTAAGTAGACCATTTACCATTTCCAGGACTAAGTTTCTCTGTCAATAAAACAGAATTGAACCATTCATCACTTGAAAAGTTTATGATCTCAAGATAGTTCTTTAATTCCTAAGTCCTTATCAACCCAAATTCCTGTATATCAAGATTTTATATATCCATTCAGTTACCAACAGTATAATGAGGTTTATTGGTATATTTTGCCACACAACAAATGGTTAGAGTCATCTTAAAAATACTACAGTTTGGGAGGCCAAGGTGGGAGGATTATTTGAGGCCAAGGGTTTGAAACCAGCCTGACAATGTAACAAGACCATGTCTCTTTAAAAAAAAAAAAAGAAAAAATTAGCCAGGTGTGCTGTAGTCCTAGTAACTCAGCAGGCTGAGGTAAGAGGACTGCTTGAGCCCAGGACTTTGAGGTTGCAGTGAGCTATGATCATGTCAGTATACTCTACCCAAGGGATCAAGACAGACTTTGTCTCAAAAGAAAAAAAGAAAAAAAACTCTACAAAGAACCAACTCCTTAATTTCTTGAGATAATTCAACTTCAAAATGCTACTCTACTGGCAATCCTAGCTGCCTTCTATCAAAACACATAATACAGGCTCATGGTGTGCTTCTGTGGCAGCAGAGTGGGTTCCTGGCTTTGTCTATAACACTTGTACGGCCAAAATGCCACAAAAGTAACTTACCGTGAAGGCCACAGTGAAGGAACTGACTCCTAATCTTGCTCTTCATTACTAATGCCTCCAAAATGTATTGTTAAGGAATTACTAAAGACTTTCAAATAATTTTCTTTACAAATATAATACATAAATCAAATAGGATATACATTAATTACCTGAACAAAATTCTTCCAACTCTCACTCTCCTGTACTACCTTTTAAAAAAGTAATATTTTAAATTTACCTGTTATCACAGTGGTAATTTACGATAGATTCCTTTATGAAAATTAACCTAACTTTAGCCTCTAAGGGCCTTCAAAAAGCAATTTTAGTAAACAACTTAGTGGGTCTTACATCTATTCTGGAAACATTAGAGTCTACAAGTTCATTTTCAGTTTGGATAAAGTACAAAAATAGGTAGTCAGGCATGGATATATGCCACTATTACTTTTTTCTCCCTAACGTTATTCTTTAACAACCAGAAAATTGAACACACTTGTACAAATACCTCTTGAAATCCAGCTTGATGCCTTTACTGCTTTTCATAACTTGAGTCAGCCACTCCTGTAGGGTATTATCACTGTTTGTTTCAGGAGGGTGGGCCATTATTGGCTGGCCATGCTCTGATCCATCATTTGGAAGAAGGACATCAGCCTCTATCATGTGAGCAGAACCTGTCCAAATAAGTTAATACCAGTAAAACAGGGAGCAAAGCTAGAGATGCCATGCCCAGTACCCTTTTGAGGAAGATAAAAGAAAGTAACACTTTTCTTTAGAAGTAACTACTACATGCCACGTACTATACTTGGCCCTTGGATGTTGCCCCTTATTTTTTTACAGATGAGCAAACAGGTGCTAAGAAGTTAAATGACTTTCCCTGGGTCACACAGCTCTTAAGGTGTTGTCATAGTTCTGAATTTCTTCCCAGCACCTAGCAAAGTGAGTACATAATGGGAGGCTCAATAAGTATTTGTTGAGGTTTTCTGGAAATAAAAATAGTGCTTTTGGGTGGCACCTGTGGCTCAAAGGAGTAGGGCACCGGTCCCATATGCTGGAGGTGTTGGGTTCAAATCCAACCCCGGCCAAAAAGTAAAGTATATATATATATACTATATAAAGTGTATATATATATATATATACTATATAAAGTATATATATAGTACTTTTATCTTCTCACAAAAATATATTTTTTAATAAAAGTATATATATAGTACTTTTATCTTCTCACTCCTCAAATTAGAAACTAGCAATATTTATTACTCATGTTTGAACGTCTACATTAAACATTCAGTTCTTTGACTTATAGCTTAGGTACTGTTTAAAAGCATGCATCCTCTGAACAGGTAATAAGTGTCACCAGTCACTTGCTGAGAATGTGCTGAGCAGGCTGGTAGACTGACCCTGAGATGGCTGCCAACAATTCCTCCCATACATCCATATTTCTTTTCCCATCTCTTTCCCCTCCCCTTGAATTGGGCTGGTCTAGTGATGTGTTGAGGCCATAATCCAGAAAGACATAATCCTGAAATTTGAAATCCTGAAAGCTCAAAATCCCTAAAATTTAAAATCCTGAAAATCAAAATCCCAAAAAGATAATTCTGGGAAAAATAATTCTAAAAATTATTATTATTTTTTTTTT